GAAATTCAATGTGCGGAATGTGTTTTAGCACTAAATTTGAAAACTTCGCACAAAGAAACAAGGCATCACACAAATTTTCGCATACAGAATTCTAAATTTTGTAAATTTTGCAAATTCTGCACAGGGTTTAAAATTAAAATTTAAATTTCAAACACTGATCTAAATACTCACTTGCTGTAATATAATTTATATTGATTAGTTTATAATTGATTAGAGAATTGTTATATAATATCGAAACATTGATTTCAATAAAATGATTATGAATCTAAATACTCACTCGCTGTAATATAATTCATATTGTTTAGCTTATAATTAATTAGAGATTTGTTTTATGATAATGGATTAAATTCGTTTTAATAATTATGAATCTAATACCCACCGACTGTAATATAATTTATTATAATTTATTAGAGAATTGTTATATGATATTCAATTAAATCGAAACATTAATTTCTAAATACTCACTCGCTGTAATATAATTTATATTGATTAGTTTATAATTGATTTAGAGAATTGTTATATGACATTTATGATATTGAAACATTGATTCTAAAAATTATGAATTTCTATACTCACTCACTGTAATATAATTTATATTGATTAGTTTATAATTAATAAGATAATTGTTATATGATATTGAAACATTGATTTCTAAATACTCACGGACTGTAATATAATTTATATTGATTAGTTCATAATTGATTAGAGAATTGTTATATAATATCGAAACATTGATTTTCAATAAAATATTTATGAATCTAAATACTCACAGCCTGTAATATAATATAATTTAAATTGATTAGTTTATAATGATTAGAGAATTGTTATATGACATTTATGATATTGAAACATTGATTCTAAAAATTATGAATTTAAATACTCACCGACTGTAATAATTTATATATAGAGAATTGTTATATGATATTGAATTAAATTGATTTAAAATTGATTTCAATAATTATGAATCAAAATACTCACATTCTGTTATATAATTAATATTGATTAGTGATTAGAGAATTGGTTTATGATATTGGTTTAAATTTAATTAAATTGATTTTAATAATTATGAATCTAAATACTAACAGCCTGTAATATAATTTATATTAATTAGTTCATAATTGATTAGAGAATTGTTATGTAATATTGAAACATTGATTTCAATAATTATGAATCTAAATACTCACGAACTGTAATATAATTTATATTGATTAGTTTATAATTGATCAGAGAATTTTCATATGATATGATTAAATTATCACATTGATTTCTAAATACTTACTCACTGTAATATAATTTATATTGATTAGTTTATAATTGATCAGAGAATTGTTATATGATATTGAAACTTTGATTTTCAATAAAATAATTATGAATCTAAATACTCACAGCCTGTAATATAATTTATATTGGTTAGTTTATAATTGATTAGAGAAATGTTATATGCTATTGAAACATTGATTTTCATTAATTATGAATCTAAATACTCACGAACTGTAATATAATTTATATTGATTAGTTTATAATTGATTAGAGAATTGTTTTGAGATATTGAATTAAATTGAAACATTGATTTCTAAATACTCACGGACTGTAATATAATTTATATTAATTAGTTCATAATATTAGAGAATTGTTATATGATATTGAATTAAATTGAAACATTGATTGAGATAATCATGAATCAAAATACTCACTAACTATTTATATTGATTGGTTTATAATTGATCAGAGAATTGTAATATGATATTGAAGATTTTTAAATACTCACAAGCTGTAATTAAATTTATATTGATTAGTTTATAATTGATTAGAGAATTGTTATGTGATATTGAATTAAATTAAATTAAATTGATCTAAATAATTATGAATCAAATACTCACATTCTTTTATATAATTTATATTGATTAGTTTATAATTGATAAGGGAATTTGTTTATAATATTTGTTTAATTTGAATTAAATTGATTTTAATAATTATGAATCTAAATACTTACCGACTGTAATATAATTTATATTGATTGGTTTATAATCGATTAGAGAATGTTATACAGAATAATATTGAAACATTGATTATGAATCTAAATACTCACTAACTATTTATATTAATTGGTTTATAATTGATTAGAGAATTGTTATATAATATTGAAATATAGATTTTCATTAATTTTTGAATCCAAATACTCACTCGCTGTGATATAATTTATATTGATTAGTTTATAATTGATTAGAGAATTATCATATGATATTGAATTAAATCGTTAATTGATTTCTAAATACTCACTCACTGTAATATAATTTATATTGATTAGTTTATAATTGATTAGAGAATTGTTATGTAATATTGAAACATCAATTTTCATTAAAATAATTATGAATCTAAATACTCACAGCCTGTAATATAATTTATATTGATTAGTTTATTATTGATTAGTAATCGTTATATGATATTGAAACAATGATTTCAATAATTATAAATCTAAATACTCACCGACTGTAGTATAATTTATATTGAATCATTTATAATTGATTTAGAGAATTGTTATATAATATGATATTTATGATATTGAAACATTGATTTCAAAAATTATGAATTTATATACTCACTCACTGTAATATAATTTATATTGATTAGTTTATAATTGATAAGATAATTGTTATATGATATTGAAACAATGATTTCAATAATTGTGAACCAAAATACTCACTCACTGTAATATAATTTATATTGATTAGAGAATTGTTATTTGAAATTAATTTAAATTGAATCATTGATTTCTAAATACTCACGGACTATAATATAATTTATATTGATTAGTTCATAATTTATTAGAGAATTGTTATATGGATAATGAAACATTGATTTTCATTAATTATGAATCTAAATACTCACTCACTGTAATATAATTTATATTGATTAGTTTATAATTGATTAGAGAATTATCATATGATATTGAATTAAATTGAAACATTGATTTCAATGATTACGAATCTAAATACTCACAGCCTGTAATATAATTTATATTTGATTAGTTTATAATTGATTAGAGAATTGTTTCATGATATTGAATTAAATTGATTTTAATAATTATGAATCTAAATACTCACGGACTGTAATATAATATATATTGATTAGTTTATAATTGATTAGATAATTGTTATATAATATTGAAACATTAATTTCAATAATTATGAATCAAAATACTCACGGACTGTAATAATTAATGTTAATTGGTTTATAATTGATAGAGAATTGTTATATGATATTGAATTAAAAATTAAGTTCAAATTAGTTAAATTTAATTTGACATTTAATTAACGAAACTTCGACTTTGATAATTATGAATCAAAATACTTACTCACTGTAAATTAAATGAGTGTGATTAGTTTGTTTGATAGTTAATCAATCAGCTTAAATTTTAATTTTAATAATTTTAAATTTAAATACTCACTCCCTATAATAATATAATGTGATAATTAATTAGAAAAGTGAAGTGTTATTTAATGTTAAGTTATTATGAAATCTCGCTATTAATAATTATAAATCCCAAATACTTACTCTCTGAAATAAAATGTACGTGTAATTTATTGATTAATAAATATTATTTAAATTAATTGAGAAGTGTCATTTGACGAATTAGCATGAAACTTGATTTCAATGACTACAAATCTAAATACTCACATCCTATAATATTATATGAATAATATGAATTAGTAATAAATTAAAAAAAAAATCTTTATAAACTCAAAACTTTGAGTTAATTATTTCTCACTTCCTGATAAAATTTAAATTAATAGATAATTGATAAAGAAGTATTATTAACTTGAATTTTAAATGATAAATAATCATGATTTTAAATACTTACCGACTAATTATTAAATATTCAAATGCAAAATTGATTAGAAAAAAGAGTTATTAACTATTAATTAATATGTCATTAAAAATTATAAATCTAAAACTTACAGGCTATAATAATGTGCAAGTGCATGAATTTTATCAATAATTAGAGAAGTGTGTTATTTGGATTGAATAGCTTGAAAATATTGATTTTAATAGTAGTTATAAATCTAAATACTCACTCACTGTAAATGTCAATTAATTGAAGTATTATATATAATATTGAAATTTTGATTTAAATAATGCCGAATAATATTTAAATATTGTAAATATAAATTAATAATTAATATGGTTAGAAAGTATTGTTATAGTCAACAATTTAAAAATTTTGACTTTAACAACTATGAATCTAAATACTCACTTCCTATTATATTTGACAACAAATAACAGATAAATGATGATAATCAATTTGAGAACTTGATGTTAAATTGGGCCAAAATTTCCGTGAATCTAATTACTTACATACTAAATATAATTTGCATGCAATTAATAATTATTTATTTAAGTTGAATTAACTTGAAATAAATACTTACTCCTCTCTATAAACAATAAATATCATCAATTGGTAGATAATTGATTAGTGAAAGAAATTTCCGGAAATTTAGTTATTATGAATCTAATACTTACGTCCTGTAAATATGACATGAAATTGAATTATAATTAATTAGAGAATTTTTTTTTTTGATTTTATTGATTATGAATCTAAATACTTACAGTCTTAATTATAAAAGTGTATTCATATATTTATTGATAATTGGTTAGAGGAACATTAATTGATGTCGAAAAAATAAAAATTTCGATTTTAATGATCATAAATTTAATTTAATATTGAATTAGTGATTTTAATTATAATAAATCTAAGGCACTTACTTCCTGTAAATATAATATAGAAAGGATTATTATTAAATATTATCGAAGTTGAATTAGCTCGAAATTTTGATCGTGCGTGATTATAAATTTCAACACTTACGTCCTGCAGAAAAAATATAAATGTTATATTATTTGAATTGAATTAATTAAAAACTTTTATTTAAAGAATTTACTTACTCTATTTGGTTCAACAATTATTTTTTTTAAAATATAAATCAATTTTAACAGAGAATGTGTTAAATGATTTCACTATTTTCGTAGATATTTAAATTATCAATACCTTTAATAATTTAAAATCACGAATTGAATAATAATTAAAAAATAAAAAATTGATTAATAATTAAAAATAATAAATTGATTAATAATTAAAAACAATAAATTGATTAATAATTAATACAATATTAAAAAAAAAAATACCTGAGATTTCCCGATTTATTAAATCAGTTAGAGTTTGATCATTTGCTTCATTTGAAGCATGATCTTTGCTATGATCTTTGGTAAGAATAATGTTTTCGATAGAAACTTCAGATTGGACATTTCATTAAATTATTTTAAGAGAATTAAAAATTTTTTATAAATTAATTTCGATTTGAAAAATTTTCCTTTCATTTGAATTTAATCTATTTGATTTATAAGGTTCATATTCATTGAAATAAGAAATACCCAATATGTTTAAATTATGAAAAAAATACCTGTAACTTCCTCCCAATTTGATGCAGTAGATGAAGAGGGAATAGATATAGAATCTCTACTGAATACTTCCATTGAAGCTTGAGATTGATTATTGTAAACTTCTTGATTGCTGTCATTAGAATCGTTATATATATTTTCTAATTTTATATTTTCGAGAGAATCAAAAATATTTTTAATAGTTTGTCTTTGGCTTGGATTATCATTCCATGCACTTGAATAGATTTTGATATAATCCTCTGGTGTTCCGTTAATGGGTACTTCTCTTTTACCAGAAATAACCAATTTACATATTTCTAATCTTGATAAATCATTAAATGGGGGTCTTCCACTCGATAATTCCCAAAAAAGTACTCCTAAACTATATATATCAGAAGCTTTCTCTCTTTTATATCTTATAAATTTCATTTGATTTCGTAAATATTCAGGATCAAGATATGCAGTCATTCCACCATCCACAGAAATTGAATTGGTATCTAATGATTGAGATAATCCTAAGTCTGTTATCAATAGTCTTCCTTCATGAACTAAAATGTTCTTTGAATGCTATTAAAGTAAATGAATTTGGATATACAATTTAAATAATTAATAAATTATAATTAATGAATCATTATTATACATATTTACTTACTAAATCTTTATGAACTATATTTTCTTCGTGAATACAACGTAGACCACTTGTAATATCTTTAGCCATGTTGATTTTAATTTTCCAATCTAGACTTTTGAAATTATTTCGCAAATAAGCCCTTAAGTTACCATCTTTAGCATATTGCAACACTAGGTAGTATGTATCTGTTGAAGGATCTAAATAATAATAATAATTTTATTTGATGATAATATTTATTTTATTCAATATGAAATTATTAAATAACATATAAATAATACCTATACTGATTCCATAAAAATTAATAATATTGTCATGGTAATGTACAGTTAGGATATTTGTTAACTGTGGTCCCAAAAAAAATTGGATTTGAATTTTAACTTCATCTCGAAAATATATATTAAATGAAAACAAAATATTTATTTTTTACCTCTTTCACGAATTTTTCATAAAATAAATTATCATTTTCATCATCTTCATGCAAACTTTTCAATGCAACATGTTTTCCCAAATTTGTTGAATTAGCCCGATAAACTGTACCAAATGCTCCTCTTGCAATTTCTGTAATATTTCCAAATGTGTTATAATCAAATTCTTTGATAAATCGACCTTTTAAGGCACTTTGAAACGAATCTTTTTTGCTAGACATTTTTTAGAATGAAAAATTGGAGTTTATTATATTACACAAATTTATTTATTTAGAAAATTAAGAAACGCCGATGCGGATGTGGTGATACCAATGCACCAATAACACAAAAATAAGTAAAAACGGAAATCCCAGTCGAATTTAATCAAAAGATATTTTTCAATTTATATGTAGTGTGGTAACGATCGACAATTATTTTAATTACAAGTATTACACTACTCACAACTAGTGTTAGTATTTTCAAACGTAAAACAATGATTGTTTGTATGACATGAGTTAATATTGTGGATTGCTAAGATGCTACGAAGATGGCATTGCAGAAAACATGTGGTGTGGGAGCACAAATGATGGAAATGGTGGAGTTGTACAATGATGAGTTGTACAATGATGGGAAATGATGGAGAAGCACGAATGATGGGAATGATTGGAATGATGGAGGAGAGAGAAATGATGAGAGAGAAATATAAAAGTAGCGGTAGCAAGAGGGAGAAAGGGTCGTTCCTTTTGGGCGGCATATTTTAAGATAGCAACATTTGATATTTTATCTCTTTATTTTTATTTTATCCTATTTTATTAAATAATTATAACAACGTTTATAATAATATTCGTGTAAATAGTAGAAGTAGTAACAGAATAGAAACACGCCATTGTAATATTTTGTTGCCTAACTTCTAATAAAACTTTATTTTGATTGTCTAATTATAAATAAGCGTTTCATCTCTTATAAATCTGTTCTAGCATCTATAGTATACACAGGGAAAACGACTCTACTTCACTTGCTCACTTACCTCCAAGATAATACTCACGATTTTTTAGTTGTTATTTAAGTTGTCACGCTGTATAGCAGAAGTGTAAGCTATTATTGTGACTGGGGACTTGATTTGTTGTGAAATCCTGTTGTGTGCTGTCCAGACGTCACAATATTTTCTAAAGTTACACAATAAACAGATAACTTTTTAAGTGACTTGGTACTATGATTATGGATCTATTATCAATAAGAAAATTAATCTTATATATTTCATTTATAATAAATAGTTTTGAAATTTTTTTTTTCAAAAAGTCAATTTAAATACGATAATTATTATCTACCGACATCCTCAGCCATAAATCAGTGACAAATAAAATCATATGAACCATTATATAAAAATGATAATAGATGTATATATACAATAAATTACATAGTTTATTGTTTTATTGTATAAATCCTTTGACTTATAAAAATGAATATATTAATATGAATGATTATCCTTTTAAATTTTTTACCCGTTTAAAAAAATTTAACCACTCTCAATTTTAATGAGATATGTCTGTTCTTTTTACATATATGTGATTCATTCTTATCTTTAAGGTTACTTAGTACTGTATTTGACATTTACTTGTTTAATAAAAAGCTTTATAGTCATTTGCATAAAAATTTTCGTGCGGGATATTTTTTCTTTATTTGAAAATAGAAAAAAAAAATTCTTATCTTAAATTGACGATAATGATTTTGTTTTCCAAAATTCCATTTTCCGGCTTATAAACTTGCACTACAAATAAATAATTTATCATCCAAATTGGCCTCTTCTTTATATTTATTATTTTTTTTTTCGGAATTCACTTTGTATTTACTTTTAAATATGTATTTATTATTATTTTTTATAGCGGTAAAACCAGATGTATTTCCAGTAATTACAATGTGCACGAAAATAAGGTCAATACGGAATCAAAAATTTATTTTTATTGATGCGCTATTTAAAAAATCAAAAAGCACGAAAAAAGGGTTTCTAGAAAGAACAGAACAAAATGGTGATCTTCAAAGGAACAAATTGATCATGCCTCAAAGTGTATATTATAAATTGATGAAGCGATTCGACACTATGGTTACGGACATTGCATGAAATCCGAAACAATATTATAATAATTAATTTAATATTTTTACCCATAATCATAAAATACAATACGATTTTAGTCAATAAATTCTTGATAAATCCATTAAATATTTTTAATTCTTTATCATATAATTACTCAAATTAATAAAATCAAATAAAAAAAAGGGCATTTTATGTAATGAAAAAATTTATTGTCTAAGTGGGGAATATCACATATTTAATTCTTTTCGACTCGAGTTTTTATTCTAAAAAGGAAAAAATTGTTAATAACATATGTATAGGATGTAATATAATGCATTCATTTTCTTTACATTTGTTTCCTCCAGGTGGTCTCTTTAATATTCTTGATATTTTATATTGATATCAAACTCCATTTTCTCAATGAATGCAATACTACGAATCTGACAAATCCTTCCAATTGTATTTAAATCAAAGCATCCTAATTTCATTGCAAATTCTTCTATAACATTTTGAACTTTATTTTATTAATTAATTTTAATTTAATTTCAATTTCAAAATTTAAGTAAAATAATTTTATATTAAATGATTTACCTCCTCGATATGATAAAAAATTTTGCAATTCCTTATTACAGTAATATATTTATAACTTTAAATCATCCAAACTTTAATCTTGATTTATAAGTTAATAAATTAGATTTTTGTTGAATAATTAATAAGCACCTGCAGATTTAATTCGAATAAAGAAATAATTTATTATTTTTAATATTTATATTCATTCAATAATTCGGGAAATTTAACTGAAATAAGAACAGTATTTATTAATGGACTTCGAGGAATTGGAAAGATTACTTATTATATTTATTAATATTTTGTTAATATAAAAAAAGATTAAAAAATTTTCAGCAAATTTATTCTCTATTGTTATCCAAAATGATGTTTAGAGAATTCATTAAGAAAAAATGGAGATGGTAATACTCAATTAATTTTAATTTTCATTTAATATATTTAAAAAATAAAAATTTAGTTGAGATTTCCTAAAAAAAAAGCGAGAGCGATCAGTGATATAAATTAATTTATATGCAGCGTGGTTGTCGTAACGTAATACAGTATCTGTTCTACTTAAATTCGTTTCATTCATTTATTTATTTTTTTCATTGAATATTCAAATGTCATCGCATAGGAAAATTCCATTTTATCATCATTCTATATTTGAAAATGTAAAATTAATTAATAAAAATATTTATAAAGCGAATATAATTTCTCAGCAAAAAGAAACCGTAACAGAAGTAGTAGTTCTTAAATGTATTTCTTTAAATAATAATTTTACTTTGAAAAATTTTATAAATGAAGTGAGTTTAACAATTAAATACTATACTATAAATAAATTATTCGTCATTTTTAGTAGTTATTTTATTATTATTATTATTTATTATTATTTATTTTATTTAGGTTAAAAGACATCGAAAATTGGAAATTAATAATGATAACATTCTTAAATTTTATGGCATAACTGAGCAAGGTAAAGATAATATAAATATTAACAATAATTTATTTATTAATTAATTATTTTTAATTAATTAATTATTAATTATTATTATTATAGAGAATACCAACAATTATATGATTGTTCTCGAATATGCTAATAATGGTACTCTTCGTCAATATTTGAAAACAAATTTCCAAAAATTAGATTGGAATGTAAAATTAAATCTGGCAAAACAAATTGCAAATGCTTTAATGAATTTACATTCTAATAATATTATTCATGGAAAATTGGTAATTACTTATTTATTTTTAACTTTTATGAATAAATTAATTTTTTGATTAATATTTCTTAATTATTGTTTGAATTAGACTTCTGAAAGTATTCTCGTTCATGATGGGACGATTAAACTCAATGATTTTGGCATAAATTATTTAAAATCCCTTTTTACTACTTTCACTATTCCTATTCAATATACCGATTTTAAATATTTAGAATTATTTAATAAAAGTTTAGATATTTACAGTTTAGGAATTATTCTTTGGGAAATTTCTTGTGATGATATTTTTCCTTTTGAAAAGGAACTATTAACTAAATCATTATCAACATTACCATCAACAAATAAGAATAGTATCAATTTAATAAATGATATTATTGAAAAAGCAAAAAGAGAAAAGTGTATATCTGGAATTCCTTCTAAATACAAGGAAATTTATACTGGTATGAATTTACAAATTATTTATATTATTTATAAGTATTTAAATTATTTGCACGTGTAAATTATTAACAGTGAATTGGAATAGATTGTTTGAAGTGTCATGGAAATTCCCGGCCGGACATCTTTGAAGTTGTGAATGATCTTTCTAAAATCAATATTATTTCTGATATCAATGAAGCAAATAATTTAGAAAAGTCAAATGAAAAAGAAATTCAGTCTAATCCTCCTTCCATTAATTTTATAACAACTAAAAATAATAATTCTATTATTATATTTATTAAAAAAGTATTTGAATTTTTTATTAATATTGTTAAAACTCAGTCCCAAGAAATACGACCAATTATGATCAAAGATTATATCAGAGAACATAATATGAATTCGGTTAAAATATTATATAATATGATTAGATATCCATCTAATTATTGGTTCACAAGCCTTATAGGATTTTTTTACCAATATGGTATTGGTACTGTTATAGATAATGAAATGGCATTTAAATTCTTTAGTTTAGCTGCCAACGAAAATCTTTTTACAAAGAATGTTTCCTCAAATTTATCACTAAGGAAAATTTACAGCATTAACAAAGAAATGGGAACAATCCTTCTTGCACATATGTATTTTGATGGGATAGGTCTTGAAAGAGATTTGAAAAAAAGTTTTCAGATTTATTCTAAAGTTACAAATGAAGGGTCCCATGCAGCATTAAATTCCGTAGCGTATTGTTATGGTAATGGGTTGGGTGTTGAATTAAATGAAGAAAAAGCATTTGAATTATATTTAAAATCTGCAGAAAAAGGCAATATTATAGCACAATTTAATGTTGGTTTTTGTTATAAGAGTGGAGTAGGAATAGAAAAAGATGAAACTAAAGGATTTCAATGTCTTATGAAATCTGCTTTAGCTGGAAATATTGATTCAATAGTTGAAATTGGTTTTAATTATGAAAATGGTATAGGTGTGGATGTAGATA